CTATAAAAGTAATGAAATAAGCTTCAGACAAGCTTGTCCACTGATCCATAGGACATTCTAATATCAACACCTCACGTTGCTCTGCGTAAATACGTTAATACGTATATGGATATCTTTATGTGATTAAGATACATAGCATGCATCTAATTTAGATCTATTGACCTCCCAATCCAATGACGCCGTTTGAAACAAAGAAGAACAAGTCAACAAGACAAAAGAACAAAGGGGTATATATATCGAATTTGACTAAGAGACAGTGCACTTGGGAAGACCACAAGGTCCCTCATTGCTCTTCTCCTTCTTCGCCCCTTGTGTGCCTTGTCCATTGCCCTGTCCACTCTGAGCAGGCGTGGGAGTTGTCTCAGTCTTGGCTTGCTGTGCTGCCGCCGCAGGCTGCGACTGAGGCTTCACTTCCTCGCCACCATGTAGTCACGCGAAGTTGACCTTGGCGACGGTCTCATAGAAAGCCTTACCCTGGGCCTCGGCGATCGAGAGCTCAAGCTCAGTGGGCTGGCGGGAGCCGTCGGCACCCTGGATGACGGGAATTAGTAAGGAGCCTCGCTTGATCGACACGAAGGACGGAAAAGGGAAAACTTACAGCGAAAGTACCAGCACCCCAGGCGCTACCACCGTGGATCTCCTCCAGGTTAGCGAGCTGAGGGAAGACGGTCTTGTAGCCGAGAGGGACGTAGATGAAGCCGTGGTGGGCGAGGGTGCTCATGGCGGCAATGGCGGTCGACTCCTGGCCACCACCGAGGGTACCGGTGGAAACGAAAAGACCGGCGTACTTGCCCCAGTAACCACCAGTGGCCCAGATGCCACCGGTTCTGTCCCAGAAGGCCTTCCACTGAGCAGGGAAGTTACCGTAGCGGGTGGGGATACCCAAAAGAACGGCGTCGTAGTCCTTCAGAGTGTCCGCCTCAGCGATGGGGTAGGACGACTTGGGAGGAGCGTGCATCTTGGCGAGGACATCCTCGGGAAGGGTCTCAGCGATCCTGAAAACAAATAATGGTCAATCGCTGCAAGACTAGCAGTAACCCCCGAAGATCAAACACATACTGGTAGATGTCGGCCTGGCCACCAGCAGACTCAATACCCTTCTTCTCGGCTTCGGCCAGCTTCAAGATGTGGCCGTACATAGAGTACTGCGCAATTGACCGATTAGCAAGCGCATAAGAGTCAAAAGTCAAGGACAATGATCACATACAAAGACGATAGCGACTTTGGGAGCCATTGCGACGGATTGGAAGTGTTTGAGATAAACAGGACACTATGATACAGGTCGGTAGAAGTAGAGTCTTGTCACTTGAAATTTCAAGAAGAAGCTTTGCAGAGGCTTTATATATGAGAGCATTGCGGATGGAGGAAGCCCTCGATTCCTCTACTCGAGTAGTGCCCCTCAGCGGAATTTGGGGGGTTCTGGATTATGCAGCACCTGCTAGAGCTCCAGTATTGTATCCGTAATCGATTACAGAATCGAGGGATTGAGGGGGAACGCACGCTGATTCGTTCACTGCACCATTCCAGGACCCGTTTTTGTCAATCCAGGGTCCACTACTCAGGTCAAAAGCCAATCAGAAGCTGACCATAGACAAGGGCTCCGTTAGATGATTCTTACGCATTTCTGACAAATGCTCGGAGTAGACGAAGGTCAGGCGAAAACACCTTTGATGCCTTGATTCTATGGAATCTTCGAGCAGAGTGGTCTACTCGAGGACATTGCTGAATGATCTCTTAATAATGCTTTATCTCTCCTGTTTTCTGCGAGAATGCCGATGGTGAGGATGATGGCAAGCTGGAAGACAGAAAAGAACGTGGCAACTCAGCGGTCCTCCAGCCTGTCGTGATGTCATACATTCAAGCCTTTGATCGCCTTGCTCTTACTCTAAGAAGTCAAATGTATTAAGAAGAACTCGGAGGCAATAGCTAGTATTCTTCTTATTGTGGTGGACATGGAGTTCACTCAACCTACCACCTCAGACCAGAAGAGCGCATCACATTCCTTTGGACTAGGTAACTACTCTACAGCATAAAGACCATGAGCTCATACATCATTAACACATTTTATAACTTCGAATTGGGTATCTTAACGACTTGCAAAAGCTTCTAAAGTAAGTGAAAGCAGTCATCTTTCATAAGAGCCCTAAGTATCACCCATGCCGGATACAGACTGCCTTATTCTATCCCCTTCCACGTCCTCGATATCGGCCACGCATGAAGCCACCTCCACGGCCACGCTCGCTCCTCCACTCACGTTCCCTTTCCTTCTCTCTCTCCTGTTCTTCTCGTATGAGAGCCCTCTCCCGTTCCAATTCTTCCTCGGTCTTTTCCACCCTCATCGTAGGTTTGGGGAGATTCTCCGACCAGCGCGGATGAGCATCGGGGCACGCTTTACCCTCCGGACAGAATCCCGCTAAGTAGAATTTGCAAAGTCGACGACGGACATGTCGCTTGGAGCACAAGGGGCCCAACTCGCAGAAGCCCTGATCGTAGTTCTCGCAGGGCGGCAATCGCGCTTGTTCCCGCACGTGCTGGTATAGACAATCATCGCCGTTGGGGCAGTAGCCTGATCGCGAGAAAGACTGGCATTCCGGCATGCGGCGGAGATTATATTCATGAAGATATTCACATTTGAGACCTTTCTTGCAGAGCCCCTTGAGGAAGTGTTTGCAGACAAGGGAGCCGTGAGTTGTAGAAGGCGCCAGTCCGGACGCGGTTGTTGTTGACGTTGTGACCCGCGATGGTGTAGGATGTCGATCTGGACAGGCTGGTCCTAAGGGACAATGTCCTTCACTGTAGGCTTTGCAGACGGGTACGTCGCTCGCGAGTCCAAAACCGAAGCTTTTGCGGAGGAAGGGAGTGAAGGAGAAGTTGTTGTAGCTCGGATCTCGAGAGCTATCGGTGGACAGGATTCGTGCCGCAGCCGACTTGAAATCTGCTGTCATGGTGGTTTACAATTCGCAAGATATGAATTTGAATGAGAGTGATCGGTGGCTTTTCACTCAGCTCCAGGCTCGTTGGCCACGGTATACGTTCAAAAAAATCCTGTTCTTATTGTGACCGTTCAGTCTTGAGAGTCGACCTGATGTTTAGTCCTGTGATGATAGCAAAAAAGAACGTATGGAGGAGAATGGTAGAATTCAATTGTTGTACAAGAAAAATAAGTATCAAGTCGAGGATAATCATATCATTATCATTGCTTGCTTTGCCTGGGGCCTCAATGTACTAGTATCAATATGGTAGGCGGTGGCAAACAATATTAGTAATATTGTGGCAGAATCGGAAGCGGTCTGAGATGACATAAGCTGACTGAAATCCAAGTCCTACTCCGTAGTGATTCATTTTTGCTTCAGCTAATACATCATGAATGTAACACTGTATATGATAGTCTGGTGGTTAATGCCGTTAAATCAACATGCCACTGACTTTTGTCCCGCTCTGACGAGTAGGTAGGTAGCGTTGAGTACTCCGCAGAACTAAACCAATGAATAGCCCACTTTGCACGCGGGAGAGAATTCCCCTGCATATGGTCGATTTTGGCAATTCAAAGGTGCGAATCATTATGGATAGGTACAAGGGGCAGTCATTACCAAAAGGTCTGTGCTAGGTCCGGCCAGAATTAATATGGTTCTACCTCTGCCGTTGCTATCCAGTGGTTGGTCTCATGTTCATTCAATCTTCTCGAGCAGCTCTATTTTCCTCCCTGTGGAGACGAATGGAACTGTGGAGGCTCATTGTGGTTGACTTCAAACCTCTGGCCTCGTATGAATATGGTGTCGCCTGACGGTCTGCTAACAAGCCTAACATACGGTATACCCCACACAACATACTATCTCAAGCCATCTCTTCTCCCTTGCATGCACCTTGAGAATATGATGCATGGTCTTCCTGATCAGTATGAGTTCAGTCCCTGAGCTCCGAGATCTGTTATATTCGACCACAATGATGGCTTATGATTATGGTGATGGTCTATCAGTCATGCGGGGAAATCACTAGTTTGAGAGTTGTATCGTCCCGCGAGCAGCCAGAAGGAGAAAAAAGCAAATATGCCATGAGGCGGCTTGGGGGAGCCAAGGACAAACGGAACAAACTCACTCTTTCACATGGTCTGATTCTCAATTACCTTTCCCAAGCCATGAGCTCCAGTATCCTTGACTTGGCCCAAAGGTCATAAGAGGTGCATCTGTGAGGAAAGAGCGGATCTCCGTGAGCACGATGTACAGTTTTCCCCTATCCAGCTCAGATTAAGAGTACTGGAAGCGAAATGATCCACCCAGGATCTGAAAATGAGGCCAGCTGGGTCTCGCGCTCTAGGCATGAATATTGCCACCCGTAGAATAATAATGCAATAGTTGTGGCCAGATTCTCACCGGGAGGAGCCAAAACGAGTCATCCGAGCTCTATGAAGCTGAATCCAGCAGAATTTGACGAAGCTTTCAGGGCGTCTAATGATGGTCCCATCCACTGAGATTTGATCTCTCAAACAGCCATTGGACCTGGACCTAAAAAGGCGGGGGTAGGCATGATCATCCGGGGCGTTTTGACACTAATGGATCAGGTCACGATGAGGCTTTCCCTGTTGTCTGAGTATGCTGATTCGATGGATCAACTGAGTATCCCTAACCTTTTCTGCAAGCTCTCGCCGCATTGATGCATGTATTTTGCATTTCCAGTGAAATCGATGCTCTGCGACCTAAGAGTATTGAATGGGCCACTGAACGAAAATCAATATGGCGGCCCAGTCTAGAGGCGAGGGCCGTCATATTGCCCACTACCTTTACTCGGTAGCATCGATATCTGTATGCGTTGGAGTGTCATGCTTCGAAGAGCTCTCTGACACTCAAAGCTCTTTGAGTCTACCCTCGAACAAACCTCGAAGGGTCAAACAAGCGGTTTCGGATGCTCGGGGATTACTGCCATGGTTGCCTTTTCGGCCGCTGCATCGAGGGGTTTCTCCGTTCCTGTCCTCTATTAGCACTTTTTATTAACGTAATTGTAGTGTAGGAGTAACATGACGCTGATGGAGTTTTTGTAAGGTCAGACCAAAAAGGACCTGCCACACGTGACACTGTCAACAGTTTTGGCAGCTGCTTCTCTCTCTCAGTTGCATATCTTCAACCTCACTGCCAAGTATTTCCTCTATTCTCCTAAATCCTTTTCAGCGTCTTCATCAATCTCCGAGAATATCTACAGATCCGACAGCAATCCCGCCGAGTTTTGTCGCATTATGTTCTCCGGATCCATCTTCCCCCACTGGCGTCGTAAAGCGGCACAACGGTCCAACAGCTTCAGCAGCTCGTATGAAGTCCCGTTCTTCATGAATGCAGCCTACTATGCGAATTGGAGGATCTATCAGAAACAGCCTCCCTCGTCCTTGAGATTGGGGTTCATATCTCATATCTTCTATGCATTTGCTTGGTACTAGTCATACACACAGCCGAAGCGATCAACCGCCCGGTTTAGGTAGACACAAATGTTAACCATCATGTCTTGCTTTCTTTTAGGGTCAAAGAAGACGGCACAGTTTATGTGGATCCCCCACCCGGATTTAATATTTTTCTTTTTTTCTTTCTTTCTTCTCTCCTTGATCATTTCCCTCTCCTTTCCACGTCTTATTGTCTTCCCCCGCTGACAAGTTGTTTGTTCAGTTGAGCGATGAATGGGCCGACTCTCAGATGCCCGTTGACGGCACCACTGGCTGCCTCCGGGCATTCACACAACTCAAACCGCAATACTCAAAGATGAAGATCATCCTCTCAGTCGGAGGAGGAGGCAAGGGAAGCGAAAATTTTGCCGTTGTAGCACGGAGTCAAACCCGGCTAGAGACCTTTGTCCGGACCGCGAAGGAACTGGTAGATGAGTTCGGACTCGATGGGATTGACAGTATGTAGGACCATGCGTTCAAAGCCGTTTAGGATGATGCTGACGGTCCGCAGTCGATTGGGAGCACCCTTCAAGCCCCGCCGAGGGTTCAGACTATGTCCGTCTTCTTGCCCGGTTGCGTGAAGTCCTACCGTCACCGCGGTATGTGCTGGCCACATGTCTTCCAGCTGGTGAATGGGCCCTGCAAAATATCGATTTGTGCAAGGCACAGAATCATGTCGACCTGATCAACATCATGGCCTATGATTTCTCCGGACCGTGGACCAGCGAAACAGGACACCAGTCGCAGCTCTATAGCCCATCCCGAGACCCAACAGGGCCGATCTCCTGTCAATCGGCCGTCGCGTACGTGATCTCACAAGGCGTCAACCACAAGAAGATTCTTCTTGGGATTCCAGCGTACGGTCGCTCTTTTCTAGGCAGTAATCACATCGGTCAGCGTTACAGTGGTTGTGGAGGGGAGGATGGTGTCTTCGACTACTGCGACCTACCGCGGCCGGGCGCGAAAGAGTTTTACGATGAAAAGTTCGGCGCTGCCTGGTGCGTTGGCGGTGATGGCGGGTTTGTCACATACGACACCCCGGAGACCGTGCAACAGAAGGCCAAATTTGTGACCAAGACCAAACTGGGGGGTCTATTTTACTGGCATATCGGAGGTGATGCAAGAGGACCCCGCAGCCTGATCGAGACGGGGTATAAGACCTTGCATGATATGTGATATGGGATGTTCAACTCAATCAGAGGCAGTTTTCATGTTTGTTTGTGCAACATCAGCGGGGAAACGAAAAATAATGAAACGGGGAAATGGGAGGCTTAGTCTGTTGATATCACCAAGTAGCGAATTTTGAGGTTCATTATAAAGTTGATCTCCCTTCCTACTTATACCGTCAAAAAATCCCTGTCAATAAGTGGGCTTTTAGCCGATAACAGATGTAGATGATCAGACTTCAGCCGTGCGTCGATCGTCCACACGATATGCATCCGCCATCCTATTCGTCTCATCGGACCCTTATCGGCATCAGCAGCAGACAGATCTGATCCTGATGACAACTACAGTACTAGTAGTACTCTGAAAGTGTGACGCAGTGACCATCTCAACCAATAGGGCCTCGGATGGCTGATGTAGACTGTAGAGTAATGAGCACATCCGTACAGCTATGGCGCGACGGGCTACATCGCTTCTAAAACATTCGAGGACCACTCATTCCAAAGCTTGATTGGACGGCACCTTTTATGTCAAGAACGGGGCTGTTTGGTCGCGATGTACAGAGTACACTGACAATGTGAAGCCATCTCGCATATTATTGAATCAACCCTGAGTCTATAACAGCAGCAGAACATAAGACCCATTACATTAGAGTCATATCATAGCCATATCCGTATCCATCAACCCATCTACGAAACCCACGAATGCGACTTGAATGAAAGAAAAAAGAACAAAAATCAAGCAATACCGATCTTCGCAAACGCCTCCTTGATCTCCTTGGACCCCTTGTGCTCGGCAAGTAGTAGACCGAGCAGAATGCGCGATTTCTGCGGGTTCAGGAATCCGCTCTCGATTGTTGTCGTGCTTTCTGTGAGGGGGACTTCGCCGTTGCCTGTGCGGGTGCTTAGGACGATAGGGAGGGAGTGGGTGGAGGCGATGTCGTCGATGGCGGTGGAGAAGGTGCTTGAGACGCTTCCTGCGCCGGAGCCGGCGATCTTGATTTCATTTTTTTTCTTAGTATTTGATTTGGAGAATGGTCGGGGGAGAAAGGGAGAGGGAAACTTACGACGACACCCTTTGCGCCGTTGTCGACGGCGTCGTAGAGCGTATCGTTGTGCATATCCTGGTACGAGTAGAGGATGTCGACCCTTGGGATGGAGGAGACGTTGCGCACGTCGACGATGGTCTTGCCGGTCGGCATGACGGGCGGGTAGAAGAAGTACGGCTTGTTGGAGACGATGGCGCCGAGGTTCCCCATTTCGACTGCCTTGAAGGTGTCCATGGTGTTGGCGTTTGTCTTGGAGGCGTAGAACGCGGAGACGATGCGGTCGTTCATGACGACCATCGCGCCGCGGTTGCGTGCTGCGGGGTGCGCGGCTACGGTCACGGCCTGGAGGAGGTTGAACGGTCCGTCGGCGGAGATGGCGGTTGCGGGCCGCATGGCGCCGACGACGACGATGGGCTTGCCGCAGTTGACTGTGGCGTCGAGGAAGAAGGCCGTCTCCTCGAGCGTGTCGGTGCCGTGGGTGATGACGGCGCCGCTCATGGTGGGGTCGTCGCAGACGGCCTCGTTCAGGGTCTTGGCCATGCTGAGCAGAATAGACGACGTCACGTCGGGGCTGCCGACGTTGGCGACTTGGATGCCGGCGACGTTGGCAATGTCGAGCGTCTCGGGGACGGCGTCCATGAGCTGCTGGATGCCGATCGCGCCGGCCTTGTAGCCTGTTGTGGCGGTGTTGTCGGCGCTGGAGCCGGCGATGGTGCCGCCTGTTGCGAGGATGGTGACATTAGGGAGTGTCGTGTTCATTTGAGTGAAGTTCAAGCCATGGGAGTTGGTGAAGACGTATGTGATGTTTGAGTCGGTTACTCGGGGGTAGAGAACCGGAGAGGCATTCCCAACAGCTGCCAAAGCCGCGAGTGTGATGGTTTTGAAGCTGATTTTGGCCATTTTTGGGATGCGTGTCTATGCTGCTGTGACGAGGTGAAGCTGTGACGCTTTAAGATTGAAGCAGTAGTATACGCCAGGCAACCATACCAGCAACATATCGTAGGACATACATCCATCCTTAAGTAGGTACTGTCGTCAACATCCCACCACCGACCTCGCGACAGACCAGGAACCCCAGAGACCATCCAAGCCTCGCGATTACCCTGATAAGGAGGTATCGTCGCGGTACAGCTAAGATCTCGTAATGAGAATCAATATCAATTGGAGTCATTGCGAGGACCAGGTGGACTCGACTCCAATTCTGCTTGGCATAAGGCGCTTATCTGCAATGTCAATCATGGACCATGACTCGATGCAGGAACCACGATAAAACAGCTCTGCAATCTGTTAATAATTGCCCCAATGCCAAGAGCGAGCCGTTATCCATCAGCGATAAGAGTTGGAGATTGGACTCATTGGAGAAACATCGGAGAATCTATCGCATTGGCATTGATAAGATCGGCGCATGGTTGATATGTCGGATCTCTCAACCCGAAGTCTCCGACTGATGTGGATGGAGGGAGTGTGTCCTAATTCATTAGGTACTGTCCGTGGTTGAATTGTTCAGCGATGAAGCATCAAGACGCCAGTAGAGGCCTTATCGCCTCAAGCACATTTGTTGATCATCCACGACCAAGTGCATTGCCTGGAAACGATTTCAGATTAGTCAAGCATATTATTCCAACGAATCGGTCTATAATGCTGCGTTTTCAATATCTGCCATCGCAGATCGGTAGATTGGGTTCAAGAAAAGACCCTCTCCTTTGCACTTACGATTCTCACTTGTTGATTCGAAACTGGCTACCCAGTCAGCCTTCGAAGCGATGATGGATGACGGAGCAGCACGAGGAGATATCATGTGTATTTGCGGACATCACTGTTGGCGATCACTACCTCATGGTCAACCTAACGAGTCAGAAAGAAAGATGCGCAACAATAAATCGAATGGGAAATAAAATCCATCCAATCGTCATAACATTAGCATATACGTATCAACCCTGGATTGTACACGTAGCCTCGTAAGGCAAGAAGTGAAAAAGAAGAAATCAATGGTATATATCCACCAGTAAGGATACCTCTGGCCAACGTCACCAATCGATCAGGACAGCAACTTAGCTAGGTCCAAGGTCACATTAAGTGTATTCGATGCCAGGGCCTCGCTGAAGTACGGGATGGCTTGGCCGTTGTAGACGCTCGAGTTGGTTGAGCTTCCTGAAATCGCCACAGGGAGACCGTTGGGGTACTTCGTAAAGAATGGTCCGATTGCGTCTAGGTCGACGTAGGATGTCATGGGGAGAGTGTTGTTTCCGGGAACCAGCTTCAGGTCGTTCAAGTACGAGGTGCCAATGGAGGTTCCGTCGACGGAGAGGTCGAGGGTGACATTGCCCTAGGTCAATCAGTCGACGCTACATTGAAATAGACGGCAACGTACCATGGTGATTGTCATCACAGATGGGTTGGGGATGTACACGGTTCCACCAAAATTGGCGCCATTCGACGGCTTATCGGACAAGACATGCATTTCTGTGATGGCGAAACCGTCGAGCTTGTTGAGAGCTAAAGGATGAAAAATCAGCATTGTCCGACCCTACACGTGTGACAAGCTTGATCACTTACCCTTCATAGTAACAGTCTTGTTGTACGTCACACCGATTTTAGGCAGGCCACCCTGCTTCAGGTCGGGCTTGCCATAGATGTTCAATTTGATCTCCTCATTCTGCATGACCGCCGTAGCAAATCCTCCAAAGGCCCCCACATCGCTCAGGTCCAGGGACTGGTCGATGCGAATCACAGTGCCGTCATTGGCCTTGACCCGAGGAACTTTTACGGTTGCGAAAGCTGATGCAGCCCCCAGCAAGCTGACAGCAGCATCGAAGGCATAGATGGTAGGATGGAAAATGCTGTCAGTGCCAAGGACCTGTGTCTGGTTCAAGTGGAACGAATTCGCCGTGGGTTCAGAGATGATCATCTCCTTGATCGCCAAGGTGGAATCGTTGATATCGCCTTGTGCGATGTTGGGATAACCGACATACACCCTATTGTCATGTCAATCTCCGAGCCTCGTTTGATGCATCACGCAGACGGGAACATACAAGGGAAGTGTGACCACCAGGACGACCACAATGATCGCGATGACATGAACCCACCACCACCGCTTGTAGTGGTTGAGCACACGTCTCCCGAAACTCGGTTTCGGAGACGGGCTTCCTACGAACCCAATCTCGGTGACTTCTGGCTTATCGCCGGACATTTCGGATCGCTATTATCTCTTTTGTAGCCTGTCCGACGCTCTGACGTATGATCCGGGATGGCGTGTGACACAAACGGTCTATCCCCGGAGCGTCAGTATATAAAGCGGCCGAAGATTCAGTCGTCAATAGTGCACACCCTATTCAGATGATTAGCATCAACTCAAAACCATAAAACCTTATAGTCAATGAATACCGAGTCATGCATCAAGAACAAAACAAGGCGCTTGAAAATTATAGGAGATAATAGAGACACAGAAAAGGGACAGAAAAAAAAAAAAAAGACTCAAAGAGCAATAATACCTATTAGTTTTTCAACCGAAAGGGGAGGCGAAAAAGTACTAGGGACGGATGGTCAAAGTCCAGAATCCAAACGACGGACCATCCAGTCCCTAGGGCCCCGTAAGTGCTATATCTATTCCCAAGGAGGGGCGAGGTTCCATCACATGTAGAAAAATAGAAAGCAACCCGATTCAAGCACCGCGGATCTTTCCAACTGACGGAGACGATTTCTGACCAATGTCCGGAGACCTGTGCAGAAACATTCCCCTTCCCGACTGCTCAATTTTGGACCTTGTGGAGAATAGGGGGTGCTAAAGTGACTGGGGTGTTCACGCCAGGGCCCAAGGTGCTAGAAGAGATACTAGACAAGCAGCACGGCGTGGACAGTTACGGGATACCTCGTAGATTAAATGGCAAGGCCTCGGCGGAAGAGGGATCCGCAAGCATGAGACAGAGGCCATGGCCACGATCAGGTTGATAAAGGGCATTTTATGGCTGATGCATTATGATTTGCGTTAGTTTTGCGAGGCATATTCCCAATCCAGCCGAGGCTGAAGGGCGTCGAGGATGGCTGATTTTGCAGGCTCTTTCCCTGGAATCCTGGGTTGTTTCGGAACATATCAGTCTGGATTTGATTGGCTTGGATGCGATTGATAATACTGAGTCTAAACAAGGGGCGACCTGTCCTGGACGAGATAAACCAGGTATTTGCATGCAGTAGGCTGGCAGTGTAAACTACTATTCAGTAGTAGCTGCTGTACCCTGGATGCAAGCCTGGATGGTGTGGATGGGGAGGATCCAATCCTACCTCGCGTATGGAGTAGCGAAAGTCCAATTTCCCCATGATCGATCCTGGCTTGGCCGGGGAGAGAAACTCTCAGGGTCTGATTGGACTGGAAGGCCGGGGTAGAGAGGAGAAGTGAGACCAAGTGGGATGGACTGGAGAATGAGCCAACAAAGAGCAGCCAAGACAAAGCAATGGCAAGAGAAAAGATGGTTACTTTGGTTAGGTTCGCGGGGGCAAAAGTCGAGCAAGCCAACCGCCAACAAAGTGAACAGACTAAAAAGAGCCGAAAAGGATAGCGTGACCTGGGATTACACGCGGGAATGGCCGTTTTAGGCGACTCCTCCGTGGGCGAGCCAGGATACGAGTCACCTTACTCAGTTAACTAAGACCTTGGGAGGGGCTACAATCTCGCCAATGGAGATTTTCATGACTTTCAGGATTTTGAGCATCCATCAGTCGACTATCTCGGAGGAGTTTGATGATTCGAGGACACAGGCTCGGAGACCGGAGATCGATCGACAGTCGCAAATCAAAGACCAACTGATTGCCTCAGATCATCAGTTTCATGTTAGGGGTTTAGTATCGACTGGAGATAGGACTTTATGTCGCCATATTCCTGAAAGTTTGTTACAAACGGAAAGATAAAAATAATAATAGCATTAGCCACACCTGAGACGATGATCAGCATGCATGATCAACAGCCTGGAATTCCCAGTTGATGGAGAATTCGGGTCACAAGAAGCCGACCGCCAGTGCACCACTATGTAGATGAGTAACATACTGTGTACAAAATACAGTTCCCTGTCGTCAGCATTCCAGCGATCCCCTTCTATCCAACGACTCGGATATGGCCGTCTTGAGTATGAGGGCCAAAAATGCCTATCAGAGCTGCTGTGTAACCATACTACGAGGTAAAAGTTGAAGCGCTACATCATCTCGCACCCAGGATCCTATGCATGGTGGCTTCGGATGATCTGGCCTTTACACAATCTCTACCAGCCCGTTCTGCACTCATACTGTAGCTTACTAGACGACTGGTAGCGAGAAGATACATACAATAAAGCAAGTAGCTACGCTGTTGGAGATGTAACAAAACGTTCCAGAACTCGGCGACCAAGGCCTCCTGTACCGAAAAACATTTCAATTGAGTTTGGTTATCATGAGGATCATCAGGTATAATCTTTGCAAGAATATACATCGCCAGCTGAGAGAAGAAGAAAAGTGAAGAAGGGCAAAAGGCAGAAAGAAACGAATTGTTGCGAAGGGAAAGATAAGAAGAGGTGGAAAAAAGTGATCAAAGGAGAAAACATCACACAGTGATTAGAAATTAGGGGTATCCATGAAGAATTAGAGGCAAAGCTCACAAAGCAGCCCAAATGGTCCATGGCAGATCTCGCAGCATCCGCGCTCGAGTCGATTGAGGCAGCCGGCAAGTCCTGCTCGGACTTCAATATTGAACAGGAGAATCGAAGAAAAAGTTGAAGAAGTGAAAGAGGTGAAAGAGGTGAAGATGAACAAAGTGAAAGCATCACGAGGAATGGCTCTAGGTGATACATTCAAAGGAAGGCAAGAACAAGCTTCAACCCAGAGCGGCAGTACGCGCTGTTGCTGAGCTGTAATAGTCGAATGGGACAAACGGTAAAAGGGAACAGAAGGATAGAACGAGGGAGTGAAAGAAGAAGATAGAAAAGTGCTCAAGGAACGATAGCGAAGGCTTTTCTGTTTCCTGACGAATGGTGGGCAACGATAACTGCACAATGTTCAAGCTTCAGCTGCTAGAGACTTTTTACGATGGAAAAGACCGCGAGTTCGGGACTTGCTGCGGGCGTTCTTTTCAGGCGTTCCGCCCTGTCGACCTCGGCCACGCGAACGAGGTGCGGATTCGTCATCGGACTTATACTTGTCCTTGTAAATCCTGTAAGTGCGCATTAGTATCATCGACTGATCTACTTGGAGTCCGATTCTAGCTTACCAGCTGTTCCCGACCATGTTGATCCCCTTCGCTTCCGCCTGGCGATAGAACTTGGCCGCTTTCTTCATGTCCTTCTTGCAGCCGATACCCTCCGCGTAGCAAAATCCAGCCTCTGCCAGCGCGTCAGCATCGCCCCACTGACCTGCAATCTCGAAGCAGCGCAAAGCTAGAGACTTGTCCTGCTCGATACCCCATCCGTTCAGATGGCTCACGCCAAGCTCGTAGATACTGAGGGCAAACTGCGCACGATAGGCTTTCTGCATCTCCTTTGCTCGCTGAGGTACAGAGCCATTCGAATCGTCCATCAGCTCCAGGCCCACGCAATCGACGGCTTTGCGGAGCCACTGCACGCCTTCTCGTTGGTTGGGTCGCATACCCCAGCCATGGCGGCATGCCAAGGCATAGAGAAGCATCCCGGTGGGATGGTTTTGTTTGGCGGCAATCCGCAGATGATATGTAGATTCATTTAGAGATCCTTTCTCGTGGCATTGGATCCCCTTTGTCACATGTTCATCTGCGGTGATCATACCAGATGATGAGGAAGCTGCCCTGCCCGTCTGCGGTCGAATCGTGGATGCGGAGTCCGCAGAAGAAGTCGTATCCTCCTTGTCTTCTTTGTTCGAGGTTGTCGATTCTGGCCGAGGTGCCACCACCGCCTTCTGTTTCTCCAACGATGGCGGCTCTACCTTCGGCTCTACCTGGTCAACCTCGGGCTCAAACGTGGACTCAGCCTCCTGAGAAAGCAGGGCGGGTTCGTTTGTCGGAGGCTCTGGTCCGGCCGTTGTTGGAGTATCATACATCGAACGCGCCTTCTGCGAATATACGGACTGCGAGTATACTGATTCGTGACGTGAGGGCGGCGGAGATGGGGTCCGAGAGGGCCTCAGACGCGCCTCTGTACCGGCAGGAGGTGGGCTTTCGAATAGTGGCTCTTTCCATTCGAAGTTCGGAGTCTGCAGGCCGGAGAATACAACAGAGTCTCTAGAGACCTTGCGCCCCCGAGGAAGTGAATACTTCGTGTAGATATATGAAGACACTGCGGACGACGGTTCCTCATGCGAATGGCTGGCTAGGTCCGAATGCGTAGGCACAATAATGGGACTGGGTTTGTGCCCGCGATGCATCGTGCCAGATTGATTCCCAGGGGTCCGATCCATACCACCAATGGTGACAGGGGCGGAAAGACTCGTGCTGGACCTACTCAAGGGACGCGAAAAGTTGAACGAGGGACGAGGAAGATGGCCCGTAGTGTTTGACGTCTCCGAGCTCAAGGATGGGGACCGGGGATGTGAGCGGGGATTGGCTGACATTGGCGAGTACGGCAGCGACATGGCGCTGCAGGACGATAGCTTGCGCGGTTTTGAGAACGTCGACCCTGCGTTCGAACTGCTGTAATCGTCATCTGAGCTTTCCGGCTGAGTGGCTCTGGAACTGGTAGACGGTCTTGACAGTGGAGAAGGAGGCGGTGCCAGGGCTCGTGGAACGTTGAGTCGAGAAGCAGAATCAGTGGATGAATTGCGGGATGGTGCAGCGATAGCGACGCCGACAGAAGGAACAGGGCTAGCAGGGCTGGAGGGACCGGAAGCATAGAACCGTGGGGGCGCCTCCGGTGCACTGTGCATAGACATATCTTCCTCGGGAGATTCAGCACGCGGGACATCAAAGGGGCCTGGTTCCGTAGGGAGCGGCGGAGGTCCTTCAGTCGGTGTCGCGTCTTCGTCATCCTGTGCGAAGCCATCCTCGCTGGCAAGATACGAAACTGCACTAATGCGAGGGTGTTCCGACTGTGGACGAAACTTTGGCTCCTCGACCTCCGGATTGTTCTTCAGGGTAGGACGTCTCGAAAGTTCCCCGCCTCTTCCACCCTGAGAGTAGTAAGAGTCGCCGGATGATGGGGCCCGAAAATAGCCTGGTCGACCCTGTGACAAAGATCGTGCGACGCTGGAAGGGGGCAATCTGCT